ATTATAAAAATCTGTAATATATAATATAAATTTAAAATTGTATATAATAAATATATAAGAATATATTTATATAATAAATATATATAAATAATGCAAATTATTTTATATACTAAGTATATGTAAATAATATAAATATATTTATATATAAAATACATATTATATATTAATATATTGCTATATAATTCTATATGTTATGTACAATTATGTATTATATATTGTATATGAATTATTATTTATATCTAAATAATATATATTAATTTCTATATAATAAAATGTATAGACATTTATAATCTGTATATATATAAATTATACACACACACACACACACAGAAATACGTAGATCATTTTGCCAATTCCTTCATTTTACAGACCAAAAAACTGAGGTCTAGATTAGAGGAAATGAAGTGACTTTCCTACAGTCGTTCAGTCAATGCTGGAGAAATACTTAAAAAACTTAAACTCACATCTGTTGGACTCTCAGTCAATCAATTGTTACTACCTGAGGCTTTTAGAATCTCACAATTATGGGCCACATTTCAACACACGGTTTCCTCCTTTGCCCTGCCGAACACACAAACAATATTCAAGTGAGTAAAGGCAGCTCTGGTCCAGTCACAACCAACCTGGCTGAAACCTGAGTCTGCTCCAGACCTCAGCACTCATCCATGTTGTTCCACGAATTTACAGATGTTTCACAGCCCACTTGTGCTCTACAGGTTTTCAGTGAGTGCTGAGGAATGATGATGGTGAATATCATAGGCCAAAAGAGGAACACCAGCAGTTTCTAGCCCTTCTGCATTGCCTCCTTGATTGCCTCTCTAGGGACCAGCCTCAGGCTCTAGCAGTTCCTTCGGTGCCCAGGCAGACCCCAGGAGGGAGGGGTGGGCTCAGCTCCCCTGTCTCAGGGGGCCACACACTCTGCTCCCAGGACACCTCATTAAGGACCCGCAGAACCTGTGTCTCCTAATGAAAGGGCCTCTTCCCTCAGCATCAGCCCCACATTCCTTGGATTATTATCAACAGCATGCAGGGGTCTTACTTAGAGCAATGAAATCTAGTATGTTTAAGTGTACAGTATATTTAAGTACATCCTTATTCTGACTAAAATTCCATCTGGGAATTTTCCTTACTGCATGCCAGGCATTGGGCAAGCTGCAGAGAAGTGAGTAACGAATTAAGGCATGTGTCCAAACTTTCAGGAACTCACAAAGTCGGGGGGTGGGGCATGTGGAGTTCTTGCTTCAGCCTTCCGGAGAATCTTCTCTGAGGGCCTCAGCCTAAGTAGAGCCAGGCTATTCACACCCACATGAAGTACCCATTCAATTTTCAAATGTTTTTTGGAAAGGTCTTCAATCTCTCTGTAGTTTCTACTCCCTCATCACCGATCTGATCTGAAATAGACAGAGATGAAATGAGGTCCTTTTCCAATGAAACACCCTTAAATTGTATGAAGGTGGATATTTGAGCAGCCACCAAATCTTTCATAGACTTCAGTGTCATCTTTAAAATTCTTTGGAGCTCTCTCACCGTGCTGGCTAACCTCTTCCAACATTCTCCAGTTTATTAAATCACTGAATCCAGTATTCCAGATGTGATCAGATTAGGCTAGCGTGGTGGACGATAACCTCCCTTGAGCTGAAACTTATGCTTCTATTAAACGGATCCAGGATCACATTAGCTGTTTTGGCAGGCACATTGTATTATTAATATACATAACAAATGCAGTCTATGACATCCTTAGTTTCTCTTTCCTCTTTCGTCCAATTGAAAACATTTGGAAACTTTTCCTACCTTATATTTATGCAGTTAATTGTCTCGTCCTAAAAACAAGTTAGTGTATTTATCGCCATCAATACCATTTTATGAAATTTAGCATTTCGTTCCTGGTATGCAAGCAGCCCTTTGAGTCCTGAGTTTGCCATTCAGCAAGTCTGTGCCATTCTCACATTTGGTGAATTTATTGGCAATTCCTATATCCAAATTAGGAGGTGGTTCCAAGAGTTCCGAGTGGAGCCTCTAGAAGACCCTGATCTTTGCCATGAGTGCTCTGCCTCCTACAAATACACTTTATCAAATGCCTTTGTTGAAATGCAGATACATTATGGCTACAACATCCCCCTAATCTAGCTAGTGTAGTAACTGGGGTTTGGGAATCAGGTAGGCTTGGCTTTTAATTTTTATGACTAGGTTTGTGATTTCTGAGAGTTGCTTTCTCAACTATCAAATTAGGAATAATTATCCCTGCCCATAGAGTGATTTTGAGAAAGAGAGATAATATATGTAAGATGCTAACAATATATGTATGGTAGCATTCAATAAATTATAGCAATTGTTAATTAGCTCTTAACAAAAGAAAGCCATTTAGTCTGGGATAACATTGTTTTAAGTAGGTCCTTAAAACTTGGTGATCACTGTTCCTCATTGTCTGTGACTCACAAGCCATCTGTTGACTAACCCATTCAAAATGATGAAGATCAACATCCAGTTGCTATGTCAGAGTTTGTAGAATTTTTTCCTTTTTCCTTCCTTCTTTCTTTTCCTTCCTTCCCTCCTTCCTTTCTTCCTATCCTCCTTCCTTCTTGGAGCAGGGAATATTTGCCTAGACTAAGCTCTTTCCCACTATAATTTTTAACAGTTCCTCAAAACCTTTAATGATTTTCTCCAGAAACTCTTGTAGCAGCACAGCTGAAATTCGTCAAGAGACTTGAACTTAGAGCAGGTGATCTCTTCTGTACTACTGACCGGTTACAGGATTTTCTTCCATCTTAGCCATGGTTCCTACACCCTTTCCTTCCTTCAGCTCCTAATTTAGCCAAAAACATTTAAACCAAAGTTAAGATTGAGTAATGCTAACTGCCACCTCCCATTCATAGGACTCCTAACTTTTGGGAAACAAACGTGAGACCCAGAAAGTGTCTAATTTTACCTTGTCCATGTTTGAGGGCATGTTTGAGTTTCCATGACCAGGAATGACCCACACAGCCAGAGGCAACTGGTCTATTACCTCATTTGGACCAGTCTGTACACAAGTCAAATCTATTCACCAGTGTATCGGTTAGTCTGGAAAAGATGAGGCACATACTATTGTGAGTTAAAGTCACATCTTAAAATAGCTAAAGTTGGGGCGCCTGGGTGGCGCAGTCGGTTAAGCGTCCGACTTCAGCCAGGTCACGATCTCGCGGTCCGGGAGTTTGAGCCCTGCGTCGGGCTCTGGGCTGATGGCTCAGAGCCTGGAGCCTGTTTCCGATTCTGTGTCTCCCTCTCTCTCTGCCCCTCCCCCGTTCATGCTCTGTCTCTCTCTGTCGCAAAAATAAATAAATGTTGAAAAAAAAAATTAAAATAGCTAAAGTATTTGGTTGTTTAGGTTTTCCATGGTTCCTTGGATTGAGCTTTTGAGTATTAAGATTAGAACTACTTGTTATCTTACATTGACGAGGCTGCATTGGAATTCATGCACAAGAATAGCCTTTGAACTCCATCTAATTTAACCATGCTGAGTTCTGCTTGAACACATATTTGGTTTATTATTGTGCCAGATTGTGTTCTAGGACTCGGGTGGACTGAACAGACAACATTCCCGCCCTACAGTATGTATGGTCTGGTAAGGAAGGCATATATTCAACTAGTAGTTACATAAATAATGGCAAATAAATCAAATGAAGCCATATACAAATTGTAATAAATGAAATAAAAGAAAAGAGAGTATTATGAGAAAAAGTAACCAGGGACATTTCAAGATTGTAGAGTCAGGGGAAGTTTCCCCAAAGAACTGACGTTTTAGCCTGCACTTGAAATTTGAGTCGAAGTTACCCAGGCAAAAAATATTAGGAGAAAGGCAGCTCAGGCCGAAAATGGAATGTACAAAGGCTTTGAGGTGGAAATGGGCAGAAGGGCCATGATGAAGCTCAGAGACCAAGAGAGTGGGGCTGACAGGAGAGACTGGGGAAGACAGTGTCAGCACAGAGCTCGGGGCGGGGGGTGAGCAGAAGAAATATTGCTAAAGTGCTTAGAACAAATAATGCAGTCCTCCACAATAGCAGTGATATCCTACAGGGCCAGGCTTAGAGGCCAGGAAAAAGTCATATGTCCATCTGTGGTTCATTACTACAATTCAGGTTGATCTCTAAAAGTAATGATTAAATAATGCTGGGGCTGTTCTGTGTCATGTATCTGGATTATAAACTTCATGCACACATGTGTCTTATTCATTGCTAGGTCCTCTGCCCCTAGCCAAATGCCTGGCACAGAGGTCTGTACTAAGGGTTTATTGAATAGGGGCTTCTCGGTGGCTCAGTTGGTTAAGTGTCTGACTCCTGATTTCGGCTCGGATCATGATCTCACGGTTCATGAGCCTGAGTCTTGCATCGGGCTCAGTGCTGACAGTGTGGAGTCTGCTTAGGATGCTCTCTCTCCTTTCCTCTCTCTCTGCCTCTCCCCTGCTCTCTCTCTCTCTCAAAAAATAAATAAACTAAAAAAAAAAAAAGGGATTTATTGAATAAATGAGTTATCTTGAAGCTAACGAAGGAAACTCCATCTATTTCTTCATAATACCTGAAAAGAGGTATCTGAAACTCACCACAAAAGTTCAGGAATTATGTGGCGGCAAAAAGTCCCAAAAGAACCAAAAATTACAATGAAAGGGATTTTTCCAAAATAGAGTCTCAGGGGGAAATCATCTGCTCTCTGTATGGAAGGATGTGTCCTTTTAGAAAATAGTTATTCAGTGGGCATAATGGCCAGCAAGTTGGGCGTAATTTATGATAAGTAACTAATTTGATTAATGTCTTTACAGGGAAGAAATTCTTGTATTCAGAACCACATAAGCGAATTAAGGAAGTACTGGAAGAAGAACTTTATATTAAAAGAGATGAATGTCACATTAAAAACCCACCTGCAGGTAATCTCAGTGACAAACGAAGTGTAGTTCTGAAATGAAACTGAAATTACCTATTTGATGGGAGAGTGATTATTTTATTGATTACAAAACCATGACTATCAGAAGAAAAATGGATCCTTGGGAAATTCTTGAGCTAATTTTATAATTAGTTCACCTCTGTGCAAATAAGCTTATATTTAGGAAAAAAATGAGCTGGGCGTCAGCATCTACATTGCTGCCCCACATTTTTGGTGGAATTATTTAATTTAATGAGAAGTAGAATTTTTGCCAGGAAAAGCACAATAACATCTTCAATCTTTATCAATATAGGTATGACCAATAACAGTGGTTCCCAGAGTTTCGATTTCATCAGAATTTCCGGGGAGAGCATGTTAAAAGCAGAATGCTGGGTCTCATTCCTACAGTAACTGGCTCAGTAGTTGGGGGGTGGGTGGGGAATGGGCACAATTTGCATTTCTACCGAGTTCACGGTTGATGTTGAGGCTGATGGCGCAGGGACCAATTTGAAAAACTGCTGACCCAGAAGAATCGAAGTCATTTAAACAGGTCAAAAAATCGGGGTGCCTGGTGACTCAGTTGGTTGAGTGTCTGACTTTGGCTAGGGTCATGATCCTGCGGTTCGTGAGTTCAAGCCCCGTGTAGGGCTCTGTGCTGACAGCTGGGAGCCTGGAGCCTGCTTCAGATTCTGTGTCTGCCTCCCCCTGCCCCTCCCCTACTCATGCACATGCTCTCTCTCTCTCAAGGATAAATAAACATTAAAAAAATTTTTTTAAATAAACAGGTCAAAAAACCATCCAAGAATTTTATTGTATATACACATAGTTTATGGGTTATATGGTCTGGGTATTGATAGTTCTCATTGATGGTTTGAGAAAAGATAAGCTCTAGAAGCCCAGAATCCCTCACAGATGTTATTTTGGAACCACTGGAGCCCCTCGTTTTTGTGATTCCTTCTCAGTGACTACTGGGTGCACATTTCATGCTTTTCAAACAATCAGGTTTTTATTGCAAATCTCTTGGGTGCCAGCATTCCTAGAGGAAAGAAAAGAACTGTAAGATGTGACTCCTATACTCAGAGAACTTGACATTTTCTGAGGAGGATTGTTGAATCCCCAGCGGGGCCCAAATTCTCTAAGGATTCCCAAGAGCTGATGCTGCAGGCCCAAAAGTGCATTTTTTCAGACTCTCCATCTTTTTTTCCCCACTTTCCATCACAGAACCAGTCATACAAACAGATTTTAGGCCTCCTCTATTGCCCATTCTTACGAAAGAAGAGACCAGCAAAAAATGGCCAGTTTTACTGATACTGTGTCTGGAAGGAAAATATAAAGTCTGAATGTAGAATGCTTCTACTAAACTGCTTCTCTGGAACTCTGCCTATATGTACAATTTCCCTAGTGGTTAACAAAATTTTTAAGTCTTACACTGTTTTATTTTGGGGTTATTTCATATACGCGCTTATAACTCTATAATGTATATACTAGCTAGATATTGTATTATTGTTATTGGTTACAATTGATTTTTTGACAATATAAGCGATTAGGAAATATGATATGATTTATAAAAAATTCATTTTTCTAAGCAATCTTTGCAAATATCCTTCCTATAAAATAGAAATGCTTGGGCTGCATTTTTTGAAACAGCCACCAGAGGTCGCACAGTGGGGGGGTCTTTTAGTCCAGACTGAGAACAGACTCTGGAAGATTAAAGTTTTATATATTTTTATTTTTATGTTCGTTTATTTATTTATTTTGGGTTCACCATCCCTGGAGATACTGCAATACCAGCTCGATGTGTGGACGGAGAGAGCTCCTATTCCATCTCCCTGCTCCCCAAATCCACGTAACGTATTGTCCTCAGGTGGAGGACTTACCAGGTATTTTAACTGACCAGAACACACACTGCATTTGATCTGAGCCAAAAGCCCGAGTAGCGATGGAAGGTTAAGTTTTAAAGGGGCTTTGCTTATGGAAAACAGGA